TCTTTTGTCTGCCAGCAAAGAGACCCCCAACACTGCAGCCTGGCCCCTCTCCCAGGCTGGCTCCATCCGCCTTTCACAACACAGAGCCGATCTTCCTCTCTGTGGCACCCATCTCGTCATCCTCCTCTTCTTCTTCCTCCTCACCACCCGAGCAGGAGGAGTCCGGGCCATAGCCCAGCTCGGTGGTGCTGTGGTGCAGGAAGCCTGAGCTGGGGCTGCACCCCATGAACTCAGGGCTTTCGGCAGCTTGTCCCCGGGTTTCGCCAGGCAGCAACTTCTCGCAGGCTTTGCTGAGCCCTCGTTGCTTCTGAGCCTCCATCTGAGCCCCCTGCTCCTTGGCTTTGCGGCTCCGCTTCCACTTCATGCGGCGGTTCTGGAACCAGATCTTCACCTGCCGAGGGAGAGCCCCCAGGGGAGAGTGTGTTCCCCTGCCCCATCCTGTCCCCACTCACCCCCTCACCTTCCCTATATGGAGGACACCCCCACTCCCACCCCCCCGCAAAGCCTCTTTGTTGCGGGACATCTGATGGTGCTGGGGGTCTGTGCAAAGATGCTGAGGTTGTCATGGGGAGAGGAGTACCTGGGGGGCTGCATCCGCAGGATGCCCAAGGATGTGCACTGGAATGTTTTCATTTTAGCCCCACAAAAAGCCCCCTCCCACAGTGTGGTGAGTGATGGGAAGGCTCTGAAACTCAACTTGGGGAGTAAAAAGAGAAGCAGTGTTTCTGGGGTGCCCTTCGCAAGAGAAGAGCCTGGAGCCCACCAGGCAGGTCTCTGCAGGAGAGGGGTGCTGATGGGGGCAATGGAGTGTGGGGCTGATGGCAGCCAAGTGAAAGACATCAGCATTGCCCATGACCTTGACTTCCCTCCCTGGCAGCCGCCTGGTGCTATGCTCCATCCCCCCAGGACCAAGGTACCTGTGTCTCGGTGAGCATCAGCGACGTGGCCACCTCAAACCGCTTGGGTCTGGACAGGTACTTGTTGAGCTTGAACTGGTTCTCCAGCTCCAAGAGCTGCTGGCTGGTGAAGGCTGTACGAGGCCGACGACACTTCCCCATCAAGCCAGATTGTGGGGTGGCTGCGGAGCAGACAGTGGGCAGGGGTCAGGGGATGGTGGGGCTTGGGGGAGGGACATCCCCTTGACAAGCCCAGGATGAGGAGGAAGGCGAGAGTCTCTTCCATCATCTCCCGCCCCAATAATGGCTTTATTGCCTGGCTGATAGGAACCAGTGAGATATGTTATCAGGCCTCGGTGTGCAACTGGGATCAGTCCTGTGACTGAAATTAATCCTCCTTTTTTATTGCCGGGCCGCGCAGGTGGCTGTCCAACTGCCAGGGGCTGCGGCGGCAGGGCTGCCCGTGAGCGCCGCTAT